GCGATATGAAATAGTGTCTGTAAACAAAAAGACTGTTTGAATATGAATCGCATTTTGTGTGTGAATGAATGAACAGCTTTTACCTAACTATATTCCAATACTGAGATGAGTAAAAATCGACTGAAATATGTTGAAATAAAATATTTTTGTATAAGCAACGTATTAAACTGCAAATTAACATTTATATGTCCTAATCATAAAAACGATATGTTACATATGAAAGACAAGATGTCGTTTTTACTGTAAAATACTGCCACATCAAATAAGCTTGTTTGCTAAGATGTTATAGTGTTTGTTCGATTGTAGGCTATATTCAAACTAATAAATCCACAACTGTGAAATATGTATGATAAAATGTATACTTTAGTATATACAAAGAAAGATTACATTTGAAATATAGTTAAAATTTTAATTGTTGTTGTAATTGTAACCTTTTTATTAAAATAGCAAAAATATATGTAGGCTACATATAAATAAATCTTAGGTAAATCTTAAAAGCTCAATATAAGCCTCCTCTTTAAATTATTTGTATTGTGTTTTATTAACTGCACAATTACTATAAATGTTTACATTTGATATTATACAATTTGCAAGCACAATTTGAAAAATAAATAAATAATTGGAACTGTGAACCAATTTTGTATTAGGCCTATATATATAAATATATATATATATATATATATATATATATATATATATATATATATATATATATTGTCATTGCATTCTTGTGGCTCAGTGACACACCTGAATGAAAGGGTCATTAGTATGCAGCCCCATTATGCGCTCATTATGCGGGCCCATTGTCTTCTCAGGTGTGAATCTCAGCAGGTCACACCCCTGCGCATATTGCCTTTCCAAACAAAAAGTGTCATTTTTAAATTTAAACCAATCTATTGTTTTATGTGAATGATAAGGCAGGATGCTTTTCAGATCATTTTGAAGAAAAAACTCTAGGCGACAACATCCATTAGTCAAAAGTCTTGTGGACACATATTTAGTATGTGTTTTGTGGCCTAATTTCAGAAACTTTAAGTTTTAGTTTTTTCAATAACCACGCATAAACAATATTCTCTCAAAAATACAAACATGTACATACATGTTGATAACAAATTATGGTAGCCCTGTTTGTGCTAAATATAGTATAATTACACCTTTGCCAGTAATTTGTTTATAAGCAACTGAAAAAAGCACAAATGTCAGAGTATGTCAAAACATCTCAAGGACCCCAACAATACCTTAGACCCCAGAGGGTTAAACATCTAAAAGTATCTTTATTTGTAAGTTTTCTGAGAGGAGTAGCCTACCTTTCCTTTGTCCATGAAAAATGCTGTCTTCTCTCGCTTCCCCCTTTGTGTATATTCATAGCGAATTCTCAATGGTATAAGTCTGAACCAATGAAATGTGATTTTCAAACCCATGCTGATGTAAACAAAATGATCCCGCGCTGACTGACACGTCCAAAAAAGCGTGCACACAAAGACGCCTCAGACAGTGTGTGATCCCGTTATAGGCTACACATATACACAGAATACAGTATTTCAAAATATCTGTCTTGGCGACTATTCACACAAACATTATATGTTATGTCTTGAACGTTTGGTTAACTGTTGGGGAAAAACATCTGATGTGTAACTTTATATTTGATCCGTGCACTACAGGTTGGTCTTAATATAAGCTGTCTGTTTCAATCATGTTAATCAAACAACTGTGGTATCATGGGAAAAAAAGTTGAATATATATTTTTCTTATAGATATTTGGTTTTGACTTGGTATGTGCCCAATTTGGTGTTATTACCGGGGATTTTAAGGTATGGTTGCTAGGTGATTTTGTTTTGGAACCTTCAGAAAACTTTAATTTGATTTTTCTCAAAATTGACTTTGCTGACTCTATCGACTTCAAACAGGTTTTAGCTCATTCATTTTTTGTCTGATTCCAATAAATCATTCACCATCATTTGAAGGCTTTTTAGTAGAGAATGTGAAAATAAAAATAACAAATTTTTGAAAATGTGCTCATTGCGACTCATTTTGTCAGCACGGGTCACATATACTCTGAAGTCCTATGACAGATTAGTGTGGACTACTTTTACTTTTATTTTTATGGCTCGAATGCACCTGTCATCATTCAGACTCCGTGTTTGGGAAAGAGCAGCCTGGATATTCCACAAAATTTCAACTTTCTGTGTGCCACTGACGAATGACAGTCATATGGGTTTGGAATGACAAGAATGCTATTAAAAAACTTTCTGTGGGTGAATTCCTTATTCCTTTGAAAGAATTTTGGAATCCAAAATAGCAGCAACATTGAATTTATGATATAAATTATGTTATGGGATGAAAGGAGGCGGGAACCGGCGAATAAAGAATTTAATGACAAAACAAATACAAAACGAAAGGAAAGTAAAAGACAGCATCCCCTCACGGACGACTGCTGTCACATAATAAAACATAAACAACACAACATAAATCCAGGCCTGGCCTCTCTCGTCCTTCACCATCGTCACTCCTCCTTTTATGCTTCCGCTCCTCTGTGAGAGATACGAGACCGGTGCGACGCTCAGGTGTCGCTCATCAGCAATCACGTCACCGGCCTCGCGCCGTTCTCCCACGGCCCTCGGCCTCGTCCTGCTCGCCGCAATGAACAAGTATACATGCATGTAGTGAAGCTTTAGTTATTAAAATTATAGTTTTATTATAGATTATTAGCATTTATTATAGCATTATAGATTTATTAATAGATTAGACTAGACTAGACTAGACAGCTTCTGTGTTTGTTTCTTGTTGTGTAGCCTGCTTACTGAGGCTCTGTTTGTTTACTGGCATACAATGTTTCTCGCTGTGATATGTTTATGGCTCAAGAATGAAGCCTGGTTATAGCCTGGTTAAAACCAGACCATTCTCAGTTGGGGCGGGCTTTACACGATGACGACAGCGCTGGGATTTTGAAGCCTACATTACAAAGATGGATGCCGCCGTCGAACATCACTCGTTCGAATCAGCCTACATTATTAATAGTCTGGCCTACATTATTAATAGTCTGGCAAAGCGTCATAGACAAATCATTTCCAGAGGGGCGTCACCAACGGACGTCGCGGATAGACCTAAACCCAATCAGAGCGATGAAGGAGATGACGTATGCAGAGCGGCGGAAAAACATCTCCGAGTGTTGTTCTTTGCTCAGTTTTTAACTAAAAGGAAACGAAGGATTCGAACGAGTGATGTTCGACGGCGGCATCCATCTTTGTAATGTAGGCTACAAAACCTGCTTTAAAATCCCAGCGCTGTCGTCATCGTGTAAAGCCCGCCCCAACGTTTCTAATTGGTGCCGCGATTTCGACGAATTGGAAATGGGCTTGGATGAGCTCTTTGCCAGACTAACTTTCAGAGCAAATCTAAATTTGCCGGAAGTTGTCTGGGTTTTCCCAGGCTAGCCTGGTTAGATATCCATTCAGAAACCTGGAAGCTATGACTAGACCACCAGTATGTGTGTGTGTTTGTGTGTAGTAGTAGGCTACTGTATGATTGCTTCCAGGGCATATCTTCCTTTTTGTCATTTTTCAGCTACACTATGGCACCTTGTGCGATTTACCATGGACATGCATTCATTTAGCTCACTCAAGCTGGAAAACTTGCCTCCTCTGAGAGTCTCATCTTTTTTTTTAAATATCATTGCACAAAAAAAAAAATGTTTTTGCACATTTTAATCAGGTAATGTGTCAAATGCCTTAAAGAGTCTGTGCTAAATTGTTCTTTGGATTATGTTGGTTAATAAATTACAATCTATATTAAGTCTAATATAGGCTACGGCACATATATATGTATGGCACAATGTTTTACCTGTATATACCAGTGTAGCATCTGTTTAACCTGGGTTGTGGGTGCTTTGTGAATACAGTGCAAAATATCATACACAAAAGTGACACAACTGTTAAGTGAGTTTAAGAATGAGAAATTTAAGAATGGCTCTAATTCATGTACCAGTATAAACTGTGGGTGAAGCTTGTTTAATGCTATTTTCCTTTCATTTTCCTTTCATTTTTACTTTTACTTTTTTTTACATTTTGACAATCCCTGGCAGTTTTGTGGACGTCCTTAATTTCGAGAGGGGAAAAAAGATTTTTCTCACAAGAACCTTGGCTATTGAATAAAAATAAAAAACTTATCAAAAGCAAACTGCAAAGGCTCCTTTATCACCCTGCGGTCATAACAGTACCCATATATTTGCCTGATTAAAGAACTTGATGAGCACTTCCAAGTTTAACTTTAAGGTGTTGATAAATTGACAAATTTTCAGAAAAGCAATAGCAAACAAGTAAGGAAGAAAGAGATTTACATGAAACTGCCCTATTATGCCTTAGTCGTTGACACACACACAGACACAAACAATATATATATATATATATATATATTTAAATATACATACAGTATATGACAACAACAAAGGCTTAATATGGCAGTTTCAGTTTGAGTGTTAAAACGTGTCTTCCTCACTAAATACCCACAGGTTAACCAAGTACCAAATGCACTGGAAATAATCTGCTGCATCTTCCACATAAGATATGGGAATTGCAAGGTGTAAAATACATTCAGCAGAAATTCTGTGGACATGTTTGCACTAGTGCACCTGATTTGAATAATTCCTTTAGTAAAAATGAGTGCTAAAACAATGCAGATTGCACAATTATAAGTGGCCACAATTTATTCTTAGTACATTTCCTCCTGTGTATGCCATATTCTGGCTCAATCAGTAATATTTTTGTTTATGCATCATTGCAAATTGATTTGATTTAAATCTTTGGAACGTTATATTTCATCACAAGCTTGAATAAATTGGATTTACCTTTCAGATCACATTTTGAGCAGTAAGAGAAAACAGATGTATTAAAAGCTCCATCAGTAAGATGAATGTTTCACTTTTGCACAAAAGAACTGACAAGGTATACTTTCGCTTCTTTTAATAATCATTGCCCTCATTTTTCCTATTGACATTTCCACAGAGGCGAGAGTCGGCATCCTTTTCCAAGAAGACCAATAACACTTTCAACATTGTGGGAACCTACAGCATGGGCGTAGCCAAAGATCCCGGATTGACAACCATCTCCAAGAGTGCCACATCCACATCCACATCCACCCCATCACAGTCGGCCCGAGACATCCGACTACCCAAAATGGATGGTGAATATGTGCCGGACGGTGGAAAAAAGTCATACAATCGCGTCAGCAAAGTGGACAAGATCTCTCGTATCATCTTTCCAGTGCTCTTCTTCATCTTCAACCTGGGTTACTGGGCCACGTATGTCAACAGAAAGCCGACCATTAACCGGTCCAGCCCACAGAAATGAACATGGCGACTGCCAAAAGAGAAAAACTGCCAGTCGACCATGCTACTGTTTTCATTTTCCAAAATTCCCATTATCCTTTTTTCCCCCTACATTTTGTAGTAGTGCCAAACAGCCACGTAGACACATAACCCTAGTCAGTAGTTTTCCAAATTTGTATGTGACATTTCCTGTGTTGCATGAGGTAAAGTATGAATAATTAATATTATGACTTTATAACTGGTCTTGTATGGATGATCATTACTTACCCACTAAACCCTCCCTCACTTCACACACTGTCTATCATCAGGAAGAAAACTTCAGTCACCATTGGCTGTCGGTCGCCATGACAAGTACCTGTAGCCTTTCAGCAGCCAGTAGCGATGTCTGTAGGCGCATCATTATTAACTATCTGTCCTTTGACACTGCGCAGACCCAGAGTAATATCATCTAGAGTTGTGTTCTCATCCCCATGGGTCTATATCTGTGCATTTACCTGTCCAGTGACTCTATTGTTTAAACAGCCTGAGCAGGCTCCAAGATAAAGAAACTGTGTGCCTTTTTAATCACTCGCCATAGAGATGAATAGTTTGGCACATGCTGACATTGTCTTCAAGCTTATGCCTGCCTACTGAAAAACGTCAGTGTTGATTGATCTCTCACAGGTGGTTGGTGTTAAACTCGGAGTCGCCCGGCATGCGAGTTGATTTAGACTTGATGGTTAAAAGCAAGGCTCTGCGCCAGCCAACGGTTCTTTGTTTATGGCCAATATGAGCAGCTGGGATCAGAGAAAGTAGTGAGTGAATTATGACACTATAACAGGCTATAAAGCATTTTAGTTGTGAAGAATATCAAGACCAGATTTTAGATGTGGGCCAGTGCCACACAGGAAGGAACATGCATTTCCAGAACCTCACACTGAAAAGTGTTGGTGGTTTTGATCTTTACACTGATGATTTCTTGATTTATGTATTGTACATGTTTGTGAATGCACTATTTTTATTGTTATCTGAATCATAAAATCTTGTTAATTTGGCAACTGCAAGCCAATATTAATTTTCCTGTGTGTGAGATGTCATGTACACAAAATGTAGAAGTAGTTTCAATGCCATGTTAATTTAAGCATATATTTTAGATAATCTTATTACATACACTCATCATGGATGTGCATTTTTGCTTTTATCACTATTGTTTCCTTATAAGTTAAATTATTTTTACATAGTGTGTTCAATTTTTATTATGCATCAGGTTTTAGAAGAAAAATCGGTAACGCTTTCTATGAAGACCATGCTTATGAGTTATTGCCCAATTTATTAGTATTACTATTCTATAAATATATTTATAAAGGCTCATTAAGCCCTATACTGCATTATAAGAACAGTTATAGATACATTTATATTATTTTTATAATTCCTTATAAGTCGTGCATTTGCTTTTTCAATGTGCATGCTCATAATCAATTATACACTGATTTATAAATTATCAAATATAAAATAGATCCAGAGACACTTGTTTGCTGTACCAATTAGTTGTCAATTACCGTATGTCTTTAATGACAAATGTTTGCATTAGAGGTTATGAATGGTTATTTTTATTTGTTCAAATCTATATCTCCTCAGCCATATGCATGGTATTGCTTATAGCAGTTTGAAATTATACTTAAAAAATTATTGTTGCAGTGTTTTGCTAGTATGTAGCATTAAAAAAAGATAAAAAAAATTCAACTTCGTTTTTATGATTGCTGTGGGGGTTTTCAGCCCGATCTCACGGCAATTCGTACGAATTTTACGAGGTTGCTAATTTGTACATATTTTACGAGTCACCAAATTCGTATGAATTCGTACGAATGACCTACCCCTGACCCCGCCCCTAAACCTACCCATCACGTGGGTTTAGACAAATCGTACAAATTCGTACGAGTGAGGTCGTATGAATTAGAAATATATTTTTAATCACTCGTACGAATTCGTACGAATTGGTCGTGAGATAGCGTTGGGTTTTTTCTATTATTTTATTACAGGAATTAGTGTACATTAATTACATTTACAAGTAAACAACTTAAAATGCATAATGAGCTTCATGATTCATTATACTAAAATCTATTCATCTTCATGATTTCTTAACATTTGTTTTAGGAAAATAGCATCCTATGTTTTGACTTTATTTAAATGAGTAGTTCACTTTCAAATGAAAATTAGCCCATGATTTACTCACCCTCAAGCCATCCTAGGTGTATATGACTTTCTTCTTTCAGACGAATACACTCGGAATTATATAAAAAAATATATATCCTGGCTCTTCCAAGTTTTATAATGGCAGTGGATTGCAACCAACAGATTGAAGCTCAAAAGCATCCATCCATCCATCCATCGCAAATGAACTCCAAACGGCGCCAGGGGGTTAATAAAGGCCTTCTGAAGCAAAGTGATGAGTTTGTGTAAGGAAAATATTAATATTTAAAACTTTATAATGTAAAATAACTAGCTTCCGGCCAAACGAACATATGCATTCCACTTAAGTTTAAAGTGCAACTAATGCGACGGACTGCGTTTGGCCGGAAGCTAGAATTTTACTTTGTAACTTGTAACCCACAGGAGCCGTTTGGAGTTAATTTACGATGGATGGATGCACGTTTTTGAGCTTCAATCTGTTAGTTGCAATCCAATGCCATTATAAAACATGGAAGAGCCAGGATATTTTTTTAATGTAACTCTGATTGTAATCGTCTGAAAGAAGAAAGTCATATACACCTAGGATGGCTTGAGGGTGAGTAAATCATGGGCTAATTTTCATTTGAAAGTGAACTAATCCTTTAAAGCCATCAATGATGCATTTATAGAGGTTAGTAACTAGTATCACTCACAGTGAGTATTTATAAGAACATAACACGGCTATTAATAACAATAGATTCACTTATTTGACAGAAATAAATCTGAATCACAAAGTCATTGTAACTTTAATTTAATAACATTATAGCAATGCAGGTTGCATCTTTATAAATACATTCATTTCTATAAAGACCCATTCAAATTCGTAAAGAAGTTATTCACCAGTGAGAAGAATGGCACTTTAAAAACATCTAGGATTGAGCTAGAGAGATATTTGGAGGACACGCATACAGATGCAAAAAGGCATGAGCCTATGTCAATTCCATCAGACATACCACCTATCAACCCACCAGAATACCAAATGGAGGTCTGTGCACCTAAGTGGAAAGAGGTAGAGCAGGCTGTGAGAAAGGCAAGGGCTTCATCATCTCCAGGGCCTAATGGAGTTCCGTACAGAGTGTACAAGAGTGCTTCAGGAGTTCTGCGAATTCTGTGGAAATTGATAAAAGTGGCATGGGAAAAACAGGTTGTACCTAGAGCATGGCGCAGAGCAGGTGGAGTCTTTATACCTAAAGAAAAAGATGCTACAAGCATCAGTCAGTTTCGTCCTATTTCACTATTAAACGTTGAGGGTAAGATTTTCTTCAGCATTATTGCCCAGAGATTGTCCACCTACCTGTTAAAGAATGGCTTCATTGACACCTCAGTTCAAAAAGCGGGTATTCCAGGGTTCTCAGGATGCTTAGAACACATCAATGTTATCTGGCAACGAATTCAGTCAGCTAAAAAGGAGAGGAAGGAGCTCCATGTGACATTCCTGGATTTGGCTAATGCATATGGTTCAGTGCCACATGAGCTTCTTTGGGCAGCATTTGATTTTTTCAGAGTACCAATGTCAATAACAAATTTAGTGAAAGCCTATTTTGGAGATTTGCAATTCAGTTTCTTAACTCCAAAATTCAGCACTGCATGGCAATGCCTAGAGGTTGGAATAATGGCAGGATGCACCATTTCTCCACTGGCTTTTACCATGGCGATGGAAGTAATCATGAGGGCATCAAGATGGGTAGTAGGAGGAGAGCGCTTGGCTTCTGGGATGCGACTACCACCAATCAGAGCATACATGGATGACATGACAACCATGACTACAACAGTAGCCTGCACTAATCGGTTATTGGGGAAGTTAACAGATAATATTGAATGGGCACGAATGAAATTTAAGCCCTCTAAATCAAGGAGCATCTCGATAGTTAAAGGAAAGGTAGTAGATAAAACATTCTTCATTAATGGTGAGGCAATACCAACAGTTTCTGAGAAGCCAGTGAAGAGTCTTGGGAGATGGTACGATGGGGATCTAAAGGACACAGTTCGGGTGGGAGAAGTTAGACGACAAGCAGTGGAAGGGTTGAAGAGCATAAACAGCTGTGCTCTACCTGGTAAACTAAAACTCTGGTGCTTTCAGTTTGGTCTACTGCCGAGGTTGCTGTGGCCACTGACCGTGTACGAGGTTTCTTTGACAACAGTGGAGAAGCTGGAAGCGTTGGTAAGTTCATACATCAGGAAATGGTTGGGAGTTCCACGCTGCCTCAGCAGAGTAGGACTTTATAGTAAAGGAATATTGCAGCTGCCAGTCTCTGCTTTAACCGAGGAGTTCAAGTGTGCCAAGGTCAGACTGGAAATGACCTTAGTAGAGTCACGCGACAAATGTGTAAGGGAGGCAGCCCCTGTTTTAAAAACTGGTAGAAAGTGGTCAGCAAAGAAATCTGTAGTAGAGGCAAAGGCTGCCCTTCAAATTAGGGATATCGTGGGACAGGTACAGCATGGAAGAGGGGGTTATGGGCTCAGTTTAGCTCCTCCTAAATGGCACAAGGCAGGCCCAGCTCAAAGGAGGAAGCTGGTAGTCAACGAGGTGCGACAGCAGGAGGAGAGGATGAGGTGTATAAAGGCCATTTCACAGGCCAAGCAGGGAGAGTGGATGAGATGGGAGAGTGTGGAACAACGTAAGATGGGCTGGCAAGACCTTTGGTCAATGGAAGAGAGTAGGATCAGTTTGCTTATTAGGTCAACATATGATGTTCTCCCATCACCGCAGAACCTAAACCTCTGGGTAGGAGAGGATCCCTCTTGTCCTTTGTGTTCATCACCTGCCACATTAAGGCACATTTTGACAGGATGTAAGGTGGCTCTTAGCCAAGGTCGGTTTACTTGGCGCCATGACCAAGTACTGCGATGTTTGGCTTTAGCATTAGAAGGCAAGCGTAACATGACCAATAAGTTGCCACCTGTTCTAGCAAAACATTACACGCAGAAGACAATATTCCTCCGCCCAGGCGAGCAACCACCAAGAAAAGGTGTTAACACCAATTCTCGCCCAGGACAACTGGAAGCTGCTAGGGACTGGAAGATGCTG